TAGTAAATTACAAAAAATTAATAAATATTATTATTAATTAACTCATCATGAATTTTTAATGTATTTTGGGTAAATGTTGTTATATTCATGTCAATTAACAGCATTTTGAACTCTATAACTAATTTTTATAAAATTGAGAATTATATTTAACAATTATTAAAAGTATAAAATTTTAGTTATTGCTACTATTATAATTAATAACCGAACGTAGATGTGGAATAAAATATTATAATGTTGGAAAATGGAATTATTAATTAATTTATATTAGAAAATAACAGATAAATTAGTATAATTTTGTTAGTAAATTACCTAGCAAAAATAAATATTTAATAACAATTTAAAATAATTTTCAAATAAATCTCCATAATTACACAAATGTAATAAAATTTTCAAAAATTTCCATAAAACTACATTTTTGTAAAATAACATTCTGGAAATTAAAAGATATAAAATTTTTGAAAGTTTATTTAAAATGTATTAAATAATTATTGAAAAATATTGGAATATTTTAGAAATTTTAGAAAAATTTATTACATTTGGTAGATTTTGGAAAACTATTGAAAAATTATTTAATTTTCCTTATAAAATATTGAAAATTATTAAAAATATTGGAAATGGGAAATTCTTGGTTAGTTTATATTTGAAGATATAAGATAAATTAGTATAATTATGTAATTAAACAATTTAAAAAGAAAATAAATTATTTAATGACAATTTAAAAATAAATTTGAATAAATTTTCAAAATTACACGTGTAATAAATTTTCCATAATTTTCATAAAATTACATTTTTGAAAATTAAAGACAATTTAGTGTACTTTTAGAAATTTACCATGTGACTGATACTCAATTTATCCTTTTGATCATTTTTATCATCAAATTGAATATTGGGTTGAGGGGATGGTGTTTTGAAAACTGGATCAAACCGGATGGTCAAACCAGAAAATTAGGAACTGATTAGTTGGCTGATTCTATTTCACCCCAAAACCACTTTTTGGCCAAAAACCGTTGGCTTGGTTAGTGAACTACTGACTTGGGCAGTCGAATCGTCAAACCAGACAATGGTTTTTAAAACCATTGGACGGGGAGTGGGTGCCTTGCCTTGATCCCACTCGACACTAGGGATAGGGTGGGGAAATTTTGAAGATTCCCAGTACTGTATGAAGAGTGTGTTCCTTGCCCTGAAGTCACACGACATTGTGAACGAGGTAGAGAAATTCAAGGATTCTCCGTTCCAAACAGGGAGTGGGTGCTTTGCCCTGAACCCAACTAACACTAGGGATGAGGTGGGGATAGGGTAGAATGTCTTGACTATAGGGTAGAGATAGGGATGAGCTGCCCCACCCCCTTGCCATTCCTATATAATTGTTAATTATTAATGAACTTAATAAAAATGTTAGCTTTTGTAATTATTTTTATTTATTTAGGTCAATCAAAATTTTATTTAAAAATAATGAAATTAACAAATTATTACTACAAATGATTATAGTTATTAAAACTACTACAAATGATTAATAAAATTAAATTTATTAAAAATATTTGTTCATAATAATTTTTTTTATCAAATTTGTTCATAGTAAATTAACAATAATTATTTTCTGTAAATCAACATTAAATAAAAATACATTTATTAAAATTTTAAATATTATCAATAACTTTGAATACTTTTAATTAATTAACAAAAAAATTTGATTGGTAGTTTATCAATTAATTAATAATAAATAAAATTATTCAACTATTCAGATTTTCCCATGCATCGCACGGGTTCCCGCTAGTTCTTAATTAAATTTCATCCTCAATTATGTTCTAATCAATGTTTTAAAAGCCGACCCCGAATCGAAACAGCTTTGGCACCAGTTTCCAAGTCAACAGTTTGACCGTATGGTCCAAATGGATGGCCTATCACAATTTAAAAAATAAAAAAATAAAAAAAAATAATTGAAATGAAAAAACGGTCAAAAACCATTCATTGCATTGAATGGATGAATGGTTCGATTGGCTAGGTCAATAGGTCATTAACCAAGTCAACATTTTTTGGCATAAGACCAGGTTTAGGGTAAAAGAGAACCGGTTGCCTGGATGGTTTCCAGGCCAAACGGTCCGACTATTTGTGTCAACGACTGTTAAAAAACCATGGTTCTAATTTTTAAAAAGGATAGTTATGATTTAATATACAAGTTAAAAAATAAATAATAAGGATTAAGAGGCCCTTCATCTACGTGGAGAGCTTAACTTGTTTATTTGCATCTGGGTACCAACATCTTTGAAGAGAACTTCCCTGCATATATATCCAAAACACAACTTAGGACTTCTAACCACCAAAAAATATCCTGGGCCTGATTTTATATAAGGAAATATTAAATTGTCAATACATTGATTATTTTCGATCGAGGATAAGTTAGTGGTATGGTTTAGACTTTGTATGAATCGATTTGCCAAATTTACACAATCATGACGTCAGCATCAAAACACCTTCAACTTCGTGTTATCCACATAAATCTGCCAAAATAAATCAAATAGAGTCCCATAGGATTTGAGTTGGCCCGACAAGTTTCAAGCAATAACCCATCTATTTGATGTTTTATCTAAATAATTCAGATCATCTATCAGGGTTTAGTTTTGGACTAATAATTAAACATTAATGTCTCATAGAAGAACCTTTTTCATGGTTTTTTCTTAAGGTTATGCTTGATTTGAAGGAAAAGGTAGGAAAATTTATACAAGATTTGTAAAAGTTTTCTTAACTTTCCCTTCCTTTCCCTATTTAACTTTTCTCCTACTTCTGAGAAGCAAACACTATGTAATCTGTCTACAAAAAAAAAAAAAAACATGTAGCTCCCCACCACTTGCCTTTGCTTCTATTGCTGAATTTTTTGATGTTTCACGACACCATCTTTCTTGTATTATTATCTGATTCCAGAAACCACAGACATTTACCAGCTTTATGAGTTGGGACTGAATTGATTGGGCCCACTGTGATGGATAATTGTTAGTGACAAGAAATTGAGAATCAATTCAATCAAGTCAGGAATGAGGGTGTGGTTATGACTTAACAACACCCAGACATGCCCACTTCTAAAATGTCAGATCAGTTTCCCCAACCCAAATTTCACATGGCTTTGTTTTCCTTACAACCTAACACAAAGTAAAGCTACTCTTGCATGGTTTCGTCACCTCTTGCAAATATATAACTGATGAGCTATTCCTATTGCCTTCTCCGTCCAACAAACAATTTCCACAAAAACATATTCATTGTTATCAAGCAAATTTCGTCATTTGGGGTTTAAGTTCTTTTCTGACCAAGCTCACATTAAGAATCTTGGTTAACCACAACAAGCTCACAAGTTAGCTGCAATGGGTAGGAGAAGAATCTCATCACCAACAACTGACATGGAGAGAGATGCGGACAAATGCAGCAAATTGGTGACCAGTAAGGGTCATTTCGTAGTGTACACAACCGATAAGAGACGTTTTACTATTACATTGGCATATCTCAGCAATCCTATCTTGATAGAATTACTCGAAATATCTGAAGAGGAGTTTGGACTACCAAGTGATGGGCCTATCATGCTGCCTTGCAAAGAAAACTTTGTTGAGAAAATCATCAATTTGATGCAATGGCATCCGTCTAAAGATCTAGAGAGAAGGCTCTCCTAGCGTCTCTCACTGCTTGTCCATGCTCGTTTTCTTCTTCTCTCTATCAAGAATCAGCTGGTAACCCATCTACACTTCTTACCGGATTTTAAAGCAAGTTTTGATACTTGTATATTTTTTGCATAGATAAATGCATATATTAGGGATTATGGGGTATCGGTGTGGAGACCATGCACGTATCAGATTAGGCGGTTGGTGAAACTTAGGTTTTTAAGTATGCATTAAAGAGTTTGTTATCAACCTCGAGTGGAGCAGCAAAACGCCATCCTGAACCTACAATCATCAAAAATGACAATCCTGTTATTTTAGCTAAGATATGGTGTCTTGTGAAATCGTAGTGCACCTCCATCCAGAAAGAAACCCTGTGCAGAAGGTACATTAGTAGGCGTTTGCCAATATGAATGGATTTGTACTTTATGACAAAAACAACTGCAGTAAAAATAAGGGTCCATTTTGGTTTACAGATGGAATTGGAATTGGAATGACAACTGAAATCCATCAGCACTTGAATCAAAATAGTCTATTCTCTTAGTCTTTGGTTCAGACAGAAATCAGAAAGGGAATTGGAATCAGTTAGAATGAGATTTCATTTTCAATGGAGGGTAAAGTAATGGTCATACCCTCAAATAGAATAATATCATTCCACCAACAATGGGAATAGGATTCTGATTCCATCGAACCAATTAAATAGTTGGAATGGAAATGGCCCATTCCAATTTCCATTCTGGACCCAATTCCCATAAGCCAAACAGGCCCATATACTTTTTCTGAACCATTCACATTTGCAAAGACCCCCTTAATGAACAGGTTTCGAAGAACTCAAATAAACAAACAAGCTAACTTGGTAAAACCAATCACTTGTGGTTTCGTCATGGGGCAGAGTTGAGGGCACCAAGCAGAAGCATGTGAGAAAAGGATGGGTAATAGATGTTTTGTCTGAAATTAAGAGAGAATGTATCCCCACAATGCACTCATCATGTTGACTCCTTTGTACATTGTTTTACAAAATTATTTTCATCTTCAACAGCATAATATATAGTACTTCAGTGATTGTCCACAATTTCAGTCTATGAATTGGCACATTAAAATAGATGGACCCAGTATGTTGTGTACCTAACCGATTGAGAATAAAGAAATCCAACATTGGATGTGATGCCCTACTTCCTCCATCATTCACTCATCAATCTATCGTGCCAAGTTGCCAAACTCATAATAATTCAATTATCACATGGCTATGCATCCCTTGCAACTCGACAGAAGGAAAGCTACTCTTCTCTGGCTTGTCTCTACTTGCAATTAGATATATATAACTAAGTAATGCCCATTGTTCTCTCCATCCCTCAAAACAATCTTCTCAAAAACCTCAGCAAATCTCTTCCTTCATCTTTGAGGCCTTTAATTTTTTCAATCTCACATTAGAAAATATGATCAACAATAGGAAGCTTATTGCCATGGCAAGAAAGTGGCAGAAGTTGGCAGCCATCGGCAGGAGAAGAATCTCGTCAACAAGAACCAAACTGCAAAGGGATGCGGATGAGTGCATTGAAATGGTGGCTGTTAAAGATCACTTTGTTGTGTACACAGCTGATAAGAGACGTTTTGTTATTCCGTTGGCGTATCTCAACAATCCCATCTTCATAGAGTTACTCAGAATGTCTGAACAAGAGTTTGGACTATCAAGCAATGGGCCTATCACCTTGCCATGTGACTCGGCGTTTGCAGAGTACATCATCTCAATGTTGCAAAGACGTCCCTCAAGAGACTTAGAGAAGGCCTTAGTTATGACCCTATCTACATGTCGGTGCTCATTATATTCTTCTCTCCTTCCAGAACAGAGTAATCAGCCTATACTTGCCAATGGCTTTTGAACAAGTCATATTGTTATGTCCATCGGGACCATGATCTTTAACACTTTTCTTCTTTTTTTTCTTGAATTTTGTAAATAATTATACATATACAAATTTTATAGCTGTTTCATCAGCAGAATTTTTGGATGAGAATGAAATCGAGTTCACTTTTACTGATGCAAATCTATGTTTGTGAATCCATACAAGAGATGTATTTGCTCATGCAACCTCATCTTTTATCTTGAAAATTATTCACTGTAAAAGTCTCAGGATTTTCTACTCACTTTTCCTACCCACTCTCTACCCGCCATGAATAATGGGAAAGAGTTAAATAGAGATGTCTGGCTCCAATTCATGGCATGTAGAGAGTGGGTAGGAAAAGTGAGTAGGAAATCTGGGTTCCTGTAAAAGGTCCTCCCCTTCTTCCATTTCCCCTTTTATGCTTTTTTTTTTTAAACTCTATCTCCTTTCTCCCTTATCCCTTCCCAGCTCTCTCATTTAACTCTTTCCCATTATTCCTTTCACCCCTAACCACCCTTTTCATTAAGCCACAGTTGACCTGTGATGTGGATCCATCCACACTATCTCGTGGATCAGTCTATACTATAGGCCAATTTCTCATCCAAAGTTCTCAACATAATTCTCTTATAGATTGAAATTTAGTGGGTGTTTGGTATTGTGGTCAGACCACGATATATTGCGTTTTGAAACACACCACAATATACTAAGGTGTTTGGTTGGCTTGTGGTGTGGATCTATCCACACTATCTCGTGGATTGGTCCACACCACAGGCCAATTTCTCATCCTATATGTTTTTATTATGTATATTATTAAAAAAATAAAATATTACTTCTTTCTTGTTATATAATTATTATTTAATGTTATGTACATTTTTTAATTCAATATATGTATATTTTGTTATTTTTTAATTATTTTGTATTTTATTAATTATGATTTTTATATAAAAATAGTACTCTTGGCAACCTAATGAATTTATTTTTTTTTTATATTTATTAATTTTTAAATTGTACTTGAATTTACAAATATTAATAACTTCCTAAATTACTCTTAGTAATTATTAGTATTTTTTATTACTAAAAATAAAATATTACTATTTTCTTATTAACAACATAGATCACCTTACATGTTGTTCGGCCTATTAATGATACCCGAAAATCCGAGGCCCATTCAACATCTGATCCGATTATCTTATATTTAGATGATGTATTTATGTAATCGGATCTAATTTGGATGTTAGAGTCACATTTGGTTAATAATTGGATTGGATTCAGATTTGGCCCCATCCAAATCCGATATATTATTATATTTATTAATTTTAATATATAAACTTTATATAATTATATTTAAAATTATAAAAACATTTCTACATATTATATTATATGAATATATATAATAAATTTAGTATGTTATATTTACATTAATTTATTATATATAAAAATTGAAAAAGAATTAAATTTTTAATTTTTTAATATTTTAAAAAATTTAAAGCACATTCAGGTTAAATCTGAATCCAACCCAATTCCATTAGGATCCGAATTCAAATATGAGTCTTTAAATCCGATTGGATTTCAAATTGGATTCAAATGCAAGTTCTTAGTGGTCGGATCAGATATGGATTCTACTAAATCTGATCCAAGTCTGATTTGACTACAGCCTTACATGTTGTAGGTGAGATGCATGGAATCATAACACAAAGTGTGAATTGAAATGCACTACACCTTGTAGAATACCTGTTAGGGTATATTGTGGTTCAATCCACACTTCTTTATCCATGGTTTAGAACAATTGCCATGTTGAGGCATGGTGTCTTCTCATCCACACTGCATCTACCCCACAAGTGTGTTGTGGATATGAAAATACACCATCCAATTTCTCATCTACCTTAGAACATCCCCTCAATCAGCATTGTATTTCCATAGGAAACTATCCAAAACAGTATTCTCCTTCATTTCTTTCCTACTTATGTAAAATTCAATACCCTTATTTTGAAATATTCTAATTGATGCCTCAGTTTTTGGATTGAAATTTTTTTAAGGTACAGCTCTTCCACTACCCAATGAAACTGCCACATAGATAACAATGGTTATTTTTATTCCTGATAATAATGGTATTTAGTTCATTCATTACCCCCCCCCCTCCCTCCCAATCTCTTTATCCTTTGTTGTACATTCATTTTTGGAATTGAGCTTTTATAATTGATTAGTTTAGAAATAGATCAAATTTTCACTCTATCCTACATCTGTTGAGTTTCAAATCAAGTATAAGTTGCGGTTTTGTAATTGGAATTGAGCGAGGGAAAAAGGAAGTTTTTTAATTTATTGCAATTTTTACAGGTTAGTCATTTCCACCTCTCCCACCAAAATGAAAATATTGTAGCTCTAAACGGATTAGGAAGATGATACAAATGGGTTGGGTGCAACCCATATTGGACCCTAATCCGATCCAAACCCGACTATAATTATTTAATTTTTAATTATGAACCGGTTTAATTTGATAATTTTGGTAATTATTTAGTAATTAATGAATTAATTAATTAATAATTAACTACAAATGAACTAAAAATCATATAGATTACTAATTAATTAATAGTTAACTAATGACATTTCAGCAAACTATTTACGATTTTTTGTTATACTTGATAGCACCTTATCATAAAATTTACTGTCAATATTTATATTTTTTGTTAAAATTAACAGTAAATTATCACAAAATTTACTATTAATTTTAAATATGTACAGTAAATAATTCTTGAAAATTAACAATAAATTATCAGTCAAAAAACAATCAATAGCCACCAGTAATTGTTAATTTCTAGTAATTACTAAATTATTATAAACTACTGAATAAATCACGAAATAACTGAGTTATTGATTAGTAATTATCATAAAACTATTGATATTGTTAATTTTCAATAACTAATACTAGGAAATAATGAAAATCAATAATACATTATTAGTAAAAAATAAATAACTATAAAAATTATTAATTTAGAGTAATTACTGATTTATTGTAAATTACTGAATAAATTAATAACAAACTGAATTATTAATTAGTAATTATAAGTAAACTATCAAGTTTTAATGTACAATAAATTATTAAATATTAATTATGACTAATTATTTTCGAAATTATCAATATTTTTCTCAAGTTAATTACTGTAAATTTACAATAATTAACAATATATAATTATTTTGGAAATTTCTAAAAATTATTTTAGTAAATTTTCTCATTAATTATGACTAATTATTTTTGGGAAATTTGGTAAATATTAATTTATCCAAAATTAATTTACACAAAATATTAAAATTTCTAAAATTTATTGAAGATGTTCAAGACTGCTATTAGTCTTGGGCACTAAGAAAATTTAGGTTCAAACAGAAGAGAAAGTGAAGAAGAAAGAGGAGAAAGAGTAGTGAGAGAGCAGTAGAACACAGGTTTGAAAGGAAGGACAGATTCTCAATGATCTGCCGTCGCCACTTCAATTTAATATTTATATGTTATGCTAGTTACATGGAAGGACATATTTGCCCTTGGTGTTTACATCATAACACTTAACAATATAAAAACCGAAAAATAAATAATAGAAGTAGAATAACAGAATAACATAACAGATAGACTAGGTACATTCTACCCGGGCCCACATCAGTGGGGCCCACATCAGTTTCTCTACACTCCCCCTCAAGTTGGAAGTAAATGTTTATCATTTCCAACTTGGATAGATCCACTTCTAGCTTCTTTCTTGATACAGCTTTAGTGAGGATATCTGCTAGTTGCATACTGGATGTGATGTAAGGGAGGCATA